AAGCTTCCTTTAACTGTTATCATTAGTTTGTCAACAGAAATCTAGGAGAAACTACAGTATGTAGCGAGTAAAGAGAAATTTCTCAATTTCTAACTGGATTATTCAATCATAAATTACATTTGGCCCTATTGTTTTTGACTAATTATTATCTGGCTATATGATTATAAATTTTACATTTTAATTATGAAATTTTTAAAAGGTTACTATTTTCTATGAAATTTGTAAACAACTAACGAGTAAGCAAATATTTTGTAACTTCTAGTCGAGCAAAGATGTCATACAAGAGATGTTGTGCCCTTGTTTACATAAGCCATTTAGTTAAGTTCTTGCAAATAACAGAGAGAAAAGAAAGGTTAGACTTGCCTCAGCCTACAAGAAAAGCTACTGTTAAGGTTAAGTTTAGAATTGTAAGCATGTTTGGGAAGCATATATAAATGGTTTTAATTATAGATCTATAGAAATGACTTGTGGGTCTCTCGAATAAAAAATAGCTTAGGTGTCTATATAAAGTTTATAAATGAGCCAAACATTGGCTAAGTTAAGTTTATTTTCTGATGTGAATTTATCAAACATTGCTACCTTTCTAGTCATAAATTTGCTGGATGAACAGCTAATTATAACATGTGACTTAGTTAAAGAAAAGTTCCATTACTGATTGTTTAGAACTTGTTCTGGTTTCCAAATCTTGTTAGTTTCTGTACATTCCTAAATAATGCTGCCCTTTTCATTTTCTATTGATCTCATTTCCTTCTCTTGATGCAATCTCTGATTCTTCTTGTCTGCTTTGTACTAGGTAACTAGATAGGGGTTGTTTGAGGCCCCCCCCTCCCCCCCGGCCCCTTTTAAATGCATTTTGCAATAGTGTTATGATGGAGACCGTGTGGTTAAAAAATAAGGAAAAAATTTCGAATTTGGATATAATATTATTTTATTGAGGAATGTGTAGTTGAAATGAGGTCAAATCACTCTTCAATACTTTTTGATAGGGAAATGGGGCTCAAACAATGGCTTAACTTTATTAAATTTGACTGAAAGATTTGCATTTAGAACAAAGGAAGTACCAACAATGCCAAAAAAAATGATGGGGCAATTCTGTTCAATTTAGCTAAATAGTTAAACATTAGATCGACTCATTCCCTAGCATTTAGGTACACCTGTGGATAATTATACTTATGTTACAACCAATCAGTAGGTAAAGACAAAAGCATGCCAGAAATAGTCATTGCATTTCGCAAAATGATTTCTAACAATTAATTTGCCGAGGTAGGTAAATTGTATTGGTGTATATTAGACGACAAAAAGAAGAAGAAGCTGTTATTCTCTGAGGTAAGGAATTGCTTAAATAAAAACTCGTAATGGGCATAATAGATCAATAGCCCATAACTGTTCAATATCACTCAGAAATGCAGGAAGTCACAAATTGCTGCAATGCAAGTGCGCATTAATCATTGTTTGCTTTTTTTTATCTATCCCAGAATTCTTTGTATTGTTGTTGGAGCACTTTTGTCTATTATTACCTTTTACAATTTTTTTTCCCGGTTTCAATAAACCTAAAATATTCACTACATAGAAAACCAAAAATGGAGACTCAGGAAGTAAATTAAGAAAAGAGAACAACAAAATGAGGCCGTTGGGAAAAGGAAAGAACGATTAATTAAAATAAAAATAAAAAATAAAAAATTGAAGCACGAAATTGTTTTGATAGTTAAAACATCTTCCATTTAATAACTGTGCTTTATATTGAACAAAAAATTGCATGTTATTATGCCCCCTGTTTGGTCCCCATTACGTGGAAAAATTAATGGGTGGAATGGTATTTTTTTTAAAAATGAGTGGTTGAAAAAGAAGGAAATTTTTTCGATATACGTGTAATATTATTTTATGAAAGATTGTGTGGTTGAAAATAAGAGAGAGAAAAATGAAATGTAATGTAATGAAAATTAATGGGGTTCAAACGGGGGCTATTTGTTGTTCATCCACGAAATTTAAAATTGGAAAGATTGCAATTATTCAGAAATTCATGGCAAAGGGGTGAATTTATCTGTCTTGTCAATTTATTGATATCTGACTTCTTTACTATACTTTCGTTTGTTTATTATCTCATTTTCATATTCAATTAACTTCCCTAAAAAACTAGAAGGAAGAAAATATGTATTTATCATTAATATAATAGGTTCTCAACTGCTCAAATAATTAATGTATGTCTATAAATGTAAATATTTTCAGAAAATTTGGGCAAAGAAAGCGCAAGATGGACATAATATCCCAACTACAAGAACAAGTAAACACTATAGCCGCTCTTTCATTCAATATCATTGGGACACTTCAAAGAGATGCCCCTCCAGTTCGGCTATCACCTAATTATCCTGAGCCTCCCAAGAATGCCAATGACACGGAGGAGACGACAAATCTGGCAGAGCAACCCAAGACTATGAGTTCTGAATTAGTGAAAGCTGCCAAGCAGGTTTCTTCTTAGTTATTATTATTATTTGTTTAATATTTATTCATTCCATAATTTTATATAAATGACAATTAATAAGACAAACTGGAGACAACCATTCTCTTCCTCGCAATGCAATGTAGTCATTTACCAATTGTGTTATTTTCTGTAGTTACATAATAGTGAAGCATTTTTGTTGAAAGATGAGAGATGTGCGCATGAATTTGTTTGATTTCCGGCACGTGGTAATATGTTTTTTATTATTTTATTTGGGTATCTTGAAATTCTAGATTTTCTGGTTTCAAAAATTGAGCACTTTAGAATTTTCTTCAACTCAGACACTTGCACCTGTTATTGTAAGCTCTATGCTTGTCCATGTTATTTACATTAAAGAAAAGTATCTTTCTTTTTGTTGATTCTTCCTTTATTCCTCTCGTCATGATTCTGGTTCTAAGAATCTTTTAACTACCTAATATTCGTATATAGTATTCGTAGTAAATTGTAGTATCACATAACAAACATGTTTGAATGGTTAAATATAAACAATGGTTAGTAAGAATCCGATTTCCTGCTTCCATTTTGACGATTATCAGTTAGATGCTTTGCACCGTGGACTCCCGCAGAATGATCCTCTTAAAAGAGATGAGGAAAAAAAAAAAAAAAACTTTCTTTCACCTGTGTTTCCAGGTCCCTCCAGGCTCTAAAGGAGCTGGGCGTAATTTGGGCATGTGTTACTAAAGTATTGGGAGTTGGACCTATTCTCCCTTTGACCCATTTTCATCATTTTCCCGATCACTCCACATGTAGTGAAGTATCAAACCAAAGAACCAGTGAATACAACACTTCTGAGTTTTGGGACAAGTGCCTTGCTGGTGAACTCATGACAATTGACATTCTTCTTATATTTGTACTGTATATGAGAAGTTTACTATAAATTCTCACTGATTCTTGTGCAGTTCGATGTGCTGGTTGCTGCGATTCCATTATCTGACGGAGATGATGAGGCAGCTCAACTGAAAAGAATTGCAGAACTCCAGGTATGATGTAACCTTCTTTGTTGCTGATTAGATGATATATATTGTCAGGACACGCTTGCATATCACCTTTTTCAAAAAACAAATAGAGAAGATCAATTACCAAAAATAGTGCTGCTATAGTTGTTGTTTGCCTAACTATTTAGTTGATTAGACTTCAAATTATCCGCAATCGGCAATTTATGTTATTTTAGGTTGTCCTACTCTTCATTCTACTGGTATAAAGGCTGAAAATGAACAATATCCCGTATTTGTTTATATATTATGTAGAAAATATATATTGTGTTACAGATAGATGAATTTCTCTTTCCTACTTTGACTGCATCCCCTTGTTCCCTAATAAAACTCGACTTATTAGAATAAATTCACTGGGCAGGCTGAAAATGATGCAATAGGCCAAGAACTTCAAAAGCAATTAGACGCTGCAGGTAACTCTAAAACTTCTAATCTGGAGATTTCTATGAACTTCACCTGCATTTCAAATCCGTATGCTTGCTTTGGGCTGCAAAATAATGGCGACTCAACTTTCTTTTTTGCATTTTTCTGTTTTCAGAATATTGACAAACAAGTCGCAACTCATTTGTTCATTAAAGCAAATATTTTTTTCTTATTTACTCTTCAGGTTTATGTAATTGCATGTCAAATAATACATCATGATTTACTTGGTCAAGTAAGTAAGATGCTGTTACTTCAATGTGCTCACACTTATCTGAGTAATTTATAATTTCACTTTGGCTTTTGTAAAATGATTCAAAATCCGCTTGTAGTACACTAATACTAATACTAGACCTAATCATGTATTCAATTTGCTGTTATATGTTATCTGATTCATACATTATGTGCTGTCTAATAAATGCTGAACTAATAATTTCAACACTGATATACCAGAGAAGGAACTAAAGCAGGTTCAGGAATTGTTCAGCCAGGCAACAGACAACTGCTTGAACTTGAGGAGGCCAGAATGAGGAAAATGGACAGATGCACTCAGTTGGACTCGAACTCTAGTTGGGGAACTTCGGGAAACAGAACAAATTTTACATATTTCAGGTGGATTTGGGCTTT